TTCATTTTCGTACTTTATATATCAATATGACTGAACAGACACCTAAAGTATTTAAGTTAGAGACTGTGTCCCCACCTTCCTTCCAACTTATGCCCTTCTGGCCAGACAACATCAAAGCTTGGTTTTGCTACGCAGAAGCCGACTTCTACGAGCACGGTGTAAACGATATACGTGCACAATTCCTCGCAGTAGTCAAAGCACTACCGCGCGAATTCAACAGGTACGTAACATCTAGTATGTTTACAAGTGATGTTTCTGACCCATACCAAACCTTAAAACATGCCATCCTTAAACGCGGAGATCTAACCAATCAGCAAAGGTTAGATCAACTCCTTAACAACATCGACCTACAACACGGCTCTGCAACAGACATGTTGCAAAGAATGCGAGAAGTTATTGGCCAAAGAACCTTCGATGATGGTCTGTTCAAACAGCTTTTCTTATCAAAACTTCCTCAACAGGTGCAAACTGTGCTGGTCTCGTTCCAAAACAATCCCGTAGACGATCTAGCTGCATCTGCCGACCGCATTCTCGAAATCACTAGATCTTCTAACGCCGAGGTTTTTTCAGTCAAAGAAAAGCCTCAAACGACCCAGAATGACATAACACAGTTGCGTCATACACTTAAGCGTTATCTCAAACTCTGTAACGACCGTAAATGATCACTTACCTCGCGAAGAACCACATCACGTAGGCCATCTGTATCTAGACCTCCAGAGACGGATAATCCTGACTGATGCTGATATCACAACCCTGAAATTTTCCCAACTCAAAGTCGGTCGACGCGAAAAATGTCTCGGGAAACTTACAAGCCGGCACGCGTTAACGGCAACCGTAGCCGGCGAACATAGCCGTCTATTATATGTCACTGATGTGATAAAGAGAGTTCGCTACCTCGTCGACACTGGCGCGGAAGTTAGCGTTCTCCCTGCGAATTCCAACGACCGGCATCACGAATCGCTTTTAAATCTACAGGCGGCAAACGGAAAGCCTATCGCTACGTATGGCAAAAGGTATGTTTATCCTAACGTGGGTTTACGCAAACCCATTCACTGGATCTTTGTTGTTGCGAATGTTTCTATGCCAATCATTGGTATGGACCTTCTACAACACCGCAACTTAATTATCGATACGCGCAAACGGAGGCTAGTGGACGGAAATACTAATTTATCTGTTTGCCTGACTTCTTGTTCTGGTTGCAGGTTATCTCCAGTCACTATTAAGCACACTATAGACCCCTTCTATCAACCACTACTCGATAAATATTCTGGCACTTACCAATCGCAACCTAAATTGCCGTGTGTAACCAGCAATGTTACACATTGCATCACGACTACAGGACCACCTGTCTTCTCGAAAGCATGCCGACTGGCCCCCGAAAAGTTAAGGTTGGCGAAAAACGAATTCGACCATACGATAGACTTAGGAATCATACGACCGTCAAATAGCCCATGGGCATCTCCGTTGCTCATGGTCCCTAAAGAGGACAGCAACGATTGGCGTCCAACTGGTGACTATCTGAGACTGAATGCGAAAACCATTCCGATCGTTACCCGTTGCCCCAAATTTACGATTTGACAGCTACCTTGAAAGGTACAACTGTCTTTTCGAAAACCGACTTGGTTAAAGCGCATAACCAAATTCCTATGACCACTGAAGACATTCCAAAAACCACTATTATAACGCCCCTCGGACTCTATGAATTTTTGCGAATGCCTTTAGGTCTGAGAAACGCGGCACAGACTTTCCAAAGGTTCATAGATGACGTTTTTCGAGGTCTCAACTTCTAACATGCGTACGTTGATGACTGCCTAATAGCAAGTCCGGGCAGAGAATCACACCTCTAGCATCTGGATCTTGTTTTCGACTGACTACAAAAACATGGCATTACTGTAAACATTCAGAAATGCCAAATCGGAACCGATTCCTTAGACTTCTTAGGACACACTATAGATGCGCAAGGTATCCGACCCCTTAGAACAAAAGTGGTGGCCATTCTGGATTACCCAGAACCGACCACCATCAAGAAATTGCGCACGTTTAACGGTCTGGTAAGTTTTTATAGACGGTTCATACCGAAATGCGCGTCCCTTATGAAACCTCTTACCGACCAATTTGGTGGAAATGCGAAATCCATCAATCTGGATGACACTGCACGAAAAGCATTCTCCATGGTTAAGGAACATATCGCTCAAGCAACAATGCTTGCTCATCAGGACACTGAAGCGCCCATTAGTATCGCAGTAGACCCATGCGACTGAGCAATCGGAGCAGTCTTACAACAATGGGTTAACCACTCATGGCAACCTTTGGCATTTTTCTCTAGACGGTTGCTAGACACTGAATCGAGGTACAGCACATTCGGTAGGGAACTCCTAGCTATGTATTGTGCCGTCCGGCATTTTCAACACTATGTCGAAGGCCGTGAATTCACCATTTTTACCGACCATAAACCTCTTACCTTCTCTTTAAGCTCATCTTCAGACAAGTACTCACCACGTGAGTCTGACAACTGGACTACATTTCGCAGTTTACTTCAGATATTCGACACATTTCTGGAGCAAACAATGTAGTTGCAGACGCCTTGTCTCGCATAAATTCCTTGAACAGTTTCCAAGGAATCGACCTTTTAAAACTCGCCCAAATTAAAAAAAAAGACAGTGATCTTCAACACGAGTTGTCCTCAACAACGCTTAAATTGCGCATTAAGCAGATGGGAACAGGTAAGGAAACCTTACTGTGTGACACATCTACAGGTAGGGATCGCCCAATCGTGCCGAAACAATATCGATGCAACGTCTTCAATACGTTGCACAGACTTTCTCATCCAGGTGTTCGTGCAACCACCAAGCTCATAGCAGAACGGTTTTGCTGGCCTGGTATGAATAAAGACGTGAGAGAGTGGGCACGCTCCTGTGTAAGCTGCCAGAAATCTAAGGTTATTAGACATAACAAATGTCCCTTAGGCTCGTTTAAAACTCCCGATGCTCGCTTCTACCATGTTCATTTGGATTTGGTAGGACCTTTACCAGATTCAAATGGATATTCTTATCTTTTAATATGCGTAGACCGTTTTACTTGATGGCCAGAAGCCGTGCCCATCAAAGACATTACTACTGAAACAGTAGCCCGCCCTTCGTCGAACGATGGGTAGCAAACTTCGGCTGCCCAACAACCATCACTACAGATCGTGGACGTCAGTTTGAATCTGAACTTTTCCGTTGTCTGACCACGAAACTAGGAATCACTCACTTCCGAAAGACGGCCTACCACCCACAAGCAAACGGGTCAGTAGAACGTTTTCACCGACTACTAAAAGCGTCAGTATCAGCCTCAAACATTTCTCAGTGGACTGACGCTCTTTCACTCGTCTTACTAGGCATACGCAATGCAGTGAAAGCTGACATTGGATACACTGCGTCTCAACTCGTTTATGGAACAACACTTCGACTTTTAGGAGAATTCGTAGATCCTTTATCCTCTTCGATGAACATGGATCTAACCTCCTACGCAAACAGGCTTACAAACGCAATGCGTTCAGTTAAACCTGTTTCCACTCGACCACAATCAACTGATGTTTTCGTTCAACCTGACTTACGATATAGTACACACGTCTTCGTACGTCGAGCTCGCATCGACGACCTCTCGAATCAGCATACGAAGAACTTTTCAAAGTTCTTCAAAGCGAATCTAAGTACTATATAATCGATAAGAACGGAACCAACGATAGCATCGTCATCGATCGCCTCAAAGCAGCGTATTTAGAAGGAAATCCTATTCACGTCGACTTTCCTTCAATACAATCGCACGACACAACTCCTGCCCTTATAATACCTCAATCGACAGCCAACACACACGTTGATACTTCGGCGGTCTCCAAAAATAAACTCAGAAAAACGCGTTCTGGAAGAAGAGTTAGAATTTTAGAACATTTGAACGATTACTGCACGTATGACACAAGTTTGCACTTTATATCCTCGCGGTTTTCCCTTGTATTATATATAATTTTTTTTAAAATGACCCGTATTTAATATGCTTATATATTTTTACTATTTTTTATTTCAAAAAAGATAATACAAAAAAACGATATTATAAAAATCCGTTTTTTTCGGGAGATGAGAAACGAAAATTTCCATTGTTCCTTTTTGTACTATATTGTACATCATAGTCCCCTATAGTAAGGAAAGACGAATAGACGCTGCTAAACCTAGCAAGCTATCAGAAGAGTGTTTATCAACGAAAAACTCGTTGGGTTTAAACTTCTGGCTGGTCACGTCTTATGGTCATAACTAGCCCACTAGGGGGGGGAGTGATCTGTAGCGGTAAATAAATCCCCAAAATCAAATAGCTCTGTAAGTTTTCGACATTGGATGCTGACCACAGTTTTAGTGGACTCATCAAGCTGAAGGCGCTCGGTCAAGCATCCTCACCAGATCACGTGTGGGAACGCCGTGCTCAACATCTGCCGCAATCGCTAGCCAGATTAGTGCAAACGATCCTCGATATATTGATAACTTATCAAATATATCTTCGATCTCCTCACTTCTGTCTTTTGATTTTACTTGGTGGGTGCGCTTCATATTAGAAGGTGTTACTGGTTAAAGCGTTGTCAAACTCCGAATACCTGTGCATCTTCAGTTACATGGATGAACTTCATAGAGCAATGGTATTATTGTTTATTGTTACAAATTAATCAACAAGCATTCTTTTCAAAATTTCTTCGGACCCTTAGATGCTGAGTTTTCAAAATTCTATCTTTTCAAATGTCAGTGACTGCTCTTTTGCATCTCAGAGTATGAACGCGCTGAGTAATCTGTCTCTGGTCTTAGCAATCTAGTACCCATATCATTTTCATCAGATACTGAAGAATATTTAAATCAGAAATTGCACATATAGAAAAAAGTCAAGAAGAATCATTTAGTTTGAATACATTAAACATGTATATGCAGAATGTTATATATTTTGTTTTTTCGTAATACTTTAGCTGCACTTTCATTTTCACAACGATTTGAGATCAAGGTCGTATTGGCGGTGAAGCCTTTTACGTTGAGAGACATTCTGCTCAGGCTTTCTCGTTTATTACCGTCACTTAAATGAATCAAAATGCTTTTGAATTTTAATTGATAATATTGTGTGTGTTAGGAAAAATATGATCTATCACTAATAACGAGTGTACGCATTCAAAAATTATTTCAAATGAGAATAAATTACGTATAATCTTTAAACGATAAAAAAAATTACACTGAAATACCTTAGATTTTTGTTAGGTTTTGAATACTTTTATCTCTTATTACAAGAAACCCGTGGTTTTATCATTTTATTTGGTAATCGTATTCATTTTCCAACAATAAACTTTTTACAGCACTATCTGCAACACATATCTCCCTAATAAACTTGCTTTCTGGTTTTCTCCTCAGCTGGTTGTTCACTTTCTGATTTGCCATTAAGCTATTGAGAATTTAAATAATTAGCGATCACCAAGTCTTCACTTATCATGAGCGAGTTCATAGTGATCTAGGCGAATATATTTCATATGTTAAACATCTACGTCGCTGTTTTTAAAGAAGCGTGTTTTCTGACCTCGTAGTTTAAAGTGTTTTTTACTTGTTTTATGTGAATGTAATCCCTTAATCTGGCTGGAATCAGTGTTATGTAAATTTTCATCTCATTCCTAATGCTTTGTATCAACTGTCCTTTGACTTTATAATTTTTGAAAATCACTGAGTTATTGAAGTTTGGTTTGCACCCTCAACAGTGTTAAATAGGTTTTTTAAATAGTACAAATTAAGTTCAATTTTCAATGAATTTTTTATTTTATACTCATGATTGTTTATATAAATATTTCAAACGTTTTGAAATGAGCTTCATCATAAATATCCTGAAGTCTTACATAATTAAGTTTTTTGATTAATATATAGGCAATCATAACTGAACGCTTCCTGTACGTGCTTTTTAAAAAGTACTTAAATCTAGTCATTATTATAACCGAAACCTAGATTTTCTGATGGGGTATTGGCTCATGACTATAGATATCCAAACCTCCCTATCATGAGTTTCCCCCTCGCAGCCGTTTCCTGGTCGTCTTTCTCTAATTGCCGATACCACGCTTCATGGTCTTTTCCTAACTATTATCTCAGGTTGCAGCTGTTTTGCTAATGTCATCTGAACACTGGGTCTGATGTACGTTTCATAGGTGGATGTTCCTAAATATGCGCATTTTTTCGGTGATGGTTGTGGTAGTCATCTAGGTTTCGGCCTCGTAGAACTTGCTTAACGTTTGTGATGAGACTTCCGACTTTCATCTTTAGTGACGTTCATTCTGATTTCCAAACATTTCGGAATCTTAGGAATGTTGTCATTTATTTCTCCAATCCATGCCTTGACATCTACATCGAATCCTCTTTGTTTATTAGTGTTATTCAAGTAGTTAAAGGCTTTTATCTCTTCTGGAGTCTCGCCATTAAAGTGAGATTTGGTTGTTGTTCATAATGTTTTACTTCAAGACCTTACCCTTGTGTTTGTGAGTACTAAGAAATTACTTACTTACTTACTTACGCCTGTTACTCCTCGTAAAGGAGCATAGGCCGCTCACCAGCATTCTCCATCCAACCCTGTCCTGGGCAATCCTTTCAAGCTCTTTCCAGTTCTTATTCATCTTTTTCATATCTGCTTCTATTTCCCGACGTAATGTGTTCTTTGGCCTTCCTCTTTTCCGCTTCCCTTCAGGATTCCAAGTTAGCCCTTGTCTCGTAATGCAGTTTGATGATTTCCTCAATGTATGTCCTATCCATTTCCATCGTTTTTTCCTAATTTCCTCTTCAGCTGGAAGCTGGTTGGTTCTCTCCCACAAAAGGCTGTTGCTGATGGTTTCCGGCCAATGGATGTTGAGTATCATGCGTAGACAGCTATTAATAAATACCTGTACCTTCTTGATGGTGGTTGTTGTAGTTCTCCAAGTTTCAGCTCCGTACAGTAGAACTGCCTTGACGTTCGTATTGAAGATTCTGACTTTGATATTGGTTGAAAGTTGTTTTGAGTTCCATATGTTCTTCAGTTGAAGGAATGCCGCTCTAGCTTTGCCAATCCTCGCCTTGACGTCTGCATCTGAACCTCCTTGTTTATCGACGATGCTTCCCAGGTATGTGAAGGATTCCACGTCTTCCAGAGTTTCGCCATCAAGAGTGATTGGATTGCTGTTCTCCGTGTTGTGTTTGAGGACCTTGGTTTTCCCTTTGTGTATGTTGAGGCCTACTGATGCAGAGACTGCTGCTATGCTGGCTGTCTTTATCTGCATTTGTTCGTGTGTATGTGATAGGAGGGCTAGGTCATCTGCGAAGTCCAAGTCGTCTAATTGGTTCTGAGCTGTCCATCGTATGCCGTAGTTTCTCTCAGATGTCGAGGTCTTCATAATCCAGTCGACCACCAGAAGAAAGAGGAAGGGAGAGAGTAGACAGCCTTGTCTTACTCCGGTCCTTACTTGGAATGCGTCTGTCAGCTGTCCTCCATGCACTACTTTGCACTGTAGTCCGTCGTATGAGTTCCGGATAATGTTGACAATCTTCTCAGGAACTCCGTAGTGTCGAAGAAGTTTCCATAACGTCCTCCTATCTACACTGTCAAATGCCTTCTCATAATCAATGAAGTTGATGTAGAGTGACGAGTTCCACTCAATTGATTGTTCGACGATGATCCGTAGTGTCGCAATCTGGTCTGTGCACGACCGGTCCTTACGGAATCCAGCTTGTTGATCTCGAAGTTGAGCGTCAACTGCGTCTTTCATCCTGTTCAGTAACACTCTGTTGAAGACTTTACCCGGTATTGACAGTAGTGTAATGCCTCTGTAGTTTTCACACTTGCTCAGATCTCCTTTCTTTGGAATCTTGATGAGGTGTCCTTCTTTCCAATCCATCGGCACTTGTTCCTCCTCCCAAATCTTGAATAGAAGATGAAGCATGCTTGTAGTTACTTCGATGTCTGACTTCAACGCTTCAGCTGGTATATTGTCAGGTCCTGCTGCTTTCCCGCTCTTGATTTGTCTGACGGCCATTCTGATTTCTTCTGTCGTTGGTAGATTGACATTTATAGGAAGATCTGTGTGTGCTGCTTCGATGTCCGGTGGATTCATTGGAGCCGGTCTGTTCAGGAGTTCCTCGAAGTACTCTGCCCATCTGTTGCGCTGTTGTTGAATCTCAGTGATTGGTCTTCCTTCTTTGTCTTTGAGTACTAAGAAATACTGTCGTACAAGCAGCCACTTCACTGACTATTATCACCTGCGTCCAAAGTGGACACTGTATTGCATGCTTCTTCTAAGTTATCAAGTTCTTCATAATTCAATTAGTCGCTAGCAGTATTAGAAAATGTGACGGTAGATAGCTTTTTAAGGCCCTACTCTTGACTCCAAACGCTGCCCGATATCCACAACTTTGTAATTCAGTCCTTGGTATATGTTTTTTCTCGGTTATTCCATGATGTCGAAGGAAACCAGTCATGGTTAGGTTGTATCTTCTCGTTTGTGAGGCTAATTCAAAGAGTTTCCTGGTTGGTAAATTGTTCTGATATTTCACGCTTATATGTTGATTACTACCCCGATTATCAGGAGAGGCATCGAATCTGTGACTTCTGGTAAGTCTAGGCGTCATAACTCTTTCATGTTTCAAACCTTCAGCTTCCAGAATACTAGATAAATAGTTCAAATGATTTTCTTTGGCAAGCGTTTTTTTGGCTAAGCTGTTCGTTTCAAGCCGGGTGTGCTATTGCGATCCTTGGTTATCATTCTTTACTCGTACTTTGAACATATAGTAGCCATACATTGACCCAAGATGGATTTGAAAGCTATTTATACAGTGTTATATTTCATTGTGGTTTGTTATTAACTGTAACGTATTTCAAAAAAAAAACTCTAGAATTCGCTACATAATGAGATCGTTTCGCTATGTGATACGTTTGAAAAGTTTTCATATTTAATATAACGAGATCTAAAAATATGGTTTTACGTTTCTAAGGAGAAAGTCTATAGATGTGCGACATTCGTAGTGCGACAAGAAAATATACGTAGAATTTTACTTAGAATTCAATATTCTTTTACAAAACAATAGATATTTGCTTGGTAGCGATAATAAACGTTTGGTGAGCGAACTCTTACGGTGCGTGGTTGAGCCACAAATAACTTCAATGCTTTCTTGCAAATTGTTATCAAAGAAACCTGTTCTTACTGACAATAATTAGTGCTGCAATATATGCTCCAATGAGACATGCAATCTTTATCAAGGAATTTTACAGACTTCAATAGTTTTGTTGAGATACGAAACTGTATTTACTTAGTGTTTGGTTTAAAAACGATACCATGTTTTTAATGTATTGTTTTCCAGTTATTCTGGCATGGTTCATGAAAGTCAAGAACTTCATAAGTCAACTCTTATTGAACAAACAGTAAAAGGAGCCATAGCAGGTTCGTGAATGTTTATTGGTCTGCTAAGTTTATTACAGGTGGAGTCACTGGGGCGATTGAGATTTGCATCACTTTCCCGACTGAATATGTTAAGACACAATTACAACTTGATGAACGTATGGGTAGTGCCAGACAATATTCGGGGCCCATCGACTGTGTGAAGAAGACAGTGGGATCTTATGGTTTTCGTGGTTTGTATCGAGGTTTACCTGTTCTCCTATATGGTTCTGTTCCCAAGTCGGCTGTCAGGTGAGTCCGTCAACATATGAGGCATTGAAAGTTAAAAGTAAGCAACTTGAAGAGAGACGTAAGGTCAAATATGTGATATATTCCTCGGTATTAACGTTTGATATTATACCAACAGTGTCAACCTCTTAATCAATACTCTAGAGATTATTTCATGTAAATGTTAGTTGATTGCACACCCTTCTTGAAGTTCTTTACTATTAAAAATGATTTATCTCATAAGTTAATTGTAGTGAGATATATTTGTCATCGATGTTCATTGTCCATTCTTCTAAGGCATTTTGTTAGCACTGTAACGCATGGCAACTGTTTTCGACTTGAAAGATATATATCTTCAAACAAGGTGCTACTTAAAGGACCGAAATTGTGTTCAAAACGTTTCAAGCAAAAAACAATTGTTAGCAAAATATAGTCGATATCGTCAAACATCAAAATGAAAGCGGTAAATATCTACCAATAAAAAATGTGAAACATAGACTGCATAAGTAAGTATGCTTAATTTTAATGTGACAGGAAGTTAACAATTAGAAATGAAGAAAAAAATCGAATTGATGTGAAATTTTAACATGGTTATCAAAACAATCAATGTGTATCGCTAATTTCTATTCATTGAATTCCTAACCTTAACTTACATCATCTTACAAAATGGTTTCATATAATAATTATCTACTTATTTAGATTTCGATTACATATATGAATATTCACATTCATTTAATATACAGAGCTAACAGACTTACCATATTCTAAAATGTTAGTTAAATTTTCGTGATACATAGTAATGAATTATGCTAACGTGTTTTATCTGTTCAATGTTACCTTATAAGCTAAATGATTTTATCGTTTAATTTTGGAATTATTTCCTATATAATATGAATACATATTTTTCTTTACCTCTTATGAGTCCATATTTTAGTTTCTTATCTAGAATTGATTAATTTTCATAAGTGTAACTTATCATAATAATAGCAAAACAAATAACGTTTTCATGTATTCTTCTAAGAAAAAAACTCAATTTGAGTGTTACATGTATTCATACTAAGGTTGAACTTGATAGTTTCAAATAAATTGAGCTTTGGGTGGAAAGTTAATGATAAATATATATATATATATATATATATATATATATATATATATATTATTACATTCCAACGAGTAGAAAAATTGTATTTCTGGCGTTTCGTGACTTAGTGTAAGCTACTTCTTCAGATTACATAAATAACCGACAATTAAATTAACACAAGTTTAATATCAGTTATTTATTTACTCTGAAGAAGCGGCATACATTAATTCTTGAGTGTTACATTTCATGATGTACTTTATTACGTTTGTTTGTTAGATTTGGAGCATTTGAAGAGTTTAAGCGTCATAATTTATCTTCAGATGGAACTCTTACAGCTGGAAGAAAACTTTTATGTGGTTTAGGTAAGTTTAAATGTCATTTTAATCCTTTTTGGTCAAAAATTCAAAATATTTTCTGTTCAATAGACGACTGCTATATTCTTTCTTTCCCATCCTCTTTTTCAATATTCGTGTGTGTACGGATGTTTATGTTTATCTATAGAATGGTTGGTTGCTTATCTATTCATCTGTATTTGGTATATTCTCTATTTGATAAAAAAAGGCTAACACTTGACTAATTGTCTTTTGGCTCGCAATAGTCAGAGATCCCGCTACGTTCATCTGTTCATGTTTACTGTCTATAAACTTGCACATGAACTCCTGAAATAGAATTATTCCAGAACATTGCATATTTGGCTTTTTTTTACCATCGTCGCTTAATAGGGTTAGCCTACGTATCTTGATACGAAATAAGACGAGAAAACATTTCATGAATCCTTCATAGTTTTCATTAATAACAGAGTCATTTTGGTGCTACAGTTTCCTAACTGAATTCTTGTTGAGGAACTCCCATAAAGTTCCTGATGATAGCTATAAACGTGTGGTCAAACGACGGCATTTTGAGAGAGAGTGAACTCGCTTCATCTTTTGGCCTTACCACCCCACTTCAATGCTTTCATCAAGACAAGGATTGACTTGTTACTGAAGTATAGTTCTTTCAAATTTTGTATCAGATATTGCCATTATTCTGCTTCATTACTGCTTATTTTTACTTACCGTTTTTGTCACTATTCCGTTTTTTTCAGCCACCAATCTATTGATTTAATTTATCACCAACATATTCAAAATAATTTAACAGTTACAAAAATATATGCTATACAATAAACATAGTTTTCTAGATTTACTAGTCCGTAACCCATAGTTTTCAGTGCAAATGACAACTCCAAAACTTAGCTACATTCAGTTATAAAAATACTGGTTACACATACTTTCTTGGGTTCAAATGTATGAAAGAAATGTGAAGGTTGGGTTTCTAAACCAGGGATAAACATATAAAAATAATAACTTGTTTAAATACCTACATAAAAGTGACATGAAAAGATTTTCAGGTGAAAGATAACACAGTTCAAAATTTCTTGATGCGAAATAGTTTTGTCCTTTATTACATTTTGAACTATGTCTGTTTATCTTACAAATATTGTAAATCTTTAAATAAACCGTGGCCACTGTTCACAGTAATTTATATCTACATCTTGACTCGTAGCTGTTTTATTTACTCCTTACTGAACCCTAATAACTTGATTGTTGGTTGATACTATAAGAAGCAATAAATAGATTGATAGTTCATTTAGAGGCACAAATTTGATTGATTTATTTATCCACTAAACTTGTTCACAGTGTCATGTAATCTACGGACATCTAATAGTTAAGTCTTTAAGGAAATAATATGGACTGTGGAAATTATTTTTTATAATCTGCGTCTAACCGAGATTTATTCTGAATATAAGATCAGGTGGATATATCAAAGATTAACCAAGGGAGTGACAGCATTGTCCCAACGCCTATTTTATAAATGTAAAAAAACTTAGATGAAAGAGATGCCACTCTCATAAAACTTATTTTCCAGTCGATAAATAGGATTGTGCCAAATGTCTTAAAAGGAAGAGTTCAAGATCTACCTGTGAGGAGGATAAATGGATCTCAATCAAAAATATTTTACAATAAAACATCAGCATTGTAAAATAATGATGATAATAATCTAAATTTTTATTGGATAAGGGGATTTTATAGTGCTATCCGAATTTATATCACATATCTTACATTCTTTTTTATACATAATTATTACTTATAGGTGCAGGAGTTTGTGAAGCTATAATGGTAGTTACTCCGATGGAAACCATTAAAGTGAAATTTATTAATGATCAAACATCTAAAAATCCACATTATCGTGGTTTTTTCCATGGCTGTGGCTGTATCGTCAAAGAACATGGTAAGAGCGAAAGCTGTTAGTGTTAAATATTACGTATTGATTGAAACAATAATTTTGTAAAAAACGAAAGAGTTTAGTAGTTGTTTCAAACTAATTTACACTACAGCTCTACCGGGAAGCCTGAAAAGTCAACATTCTTTGTTTCCAAGTTGACTAATAATCGGCGTGGAAGTCGTAATCCGTAATCTCTAGGCGGATCACAACTTCGTAGTTTCTTAGGAAATAGCTTCCAGCCCTAAAGTGGAGTCATTTTGTCCACACAACTAGAAAGCTAACTAAGCAATTATAATGTCACATATGGTTTAAGAATCATTTCTTTATGTAAGCTACAGGTAAAATGCGATAAGATTACATCTTGGATCTGCTAAAATAGCAGGGCTGGAATGTGATCTAATGGGCTTAAATAAATTAGAAATTTCACTGGAAATCACGGTATTTCTCAGTATTTATTCGCCTGCTGACCACCAGCTGACTAAAATATTGTCATTTTTCAAGACCCTTTACGTTCTTTGAACTCCTTAAGTTTTCACTTCCTTTGGATCTAAATAAACACGGCTTTGTCGCTTAAAGTTATTATCCGAAATAAGTAATCTGTTTTATTCTTTCACAGTTAAATGCTATCATGAGGAAGACTATCAGTTGGTCCTTTGTGGTAAAAGATATGAGGACGATTAGAGGAATTGGTTTCACTGTATGATTAAGATTTACTTTTCTTTGTCATCTATTTTTTTAAGTTTTATAACTATAATTGTTATGCGTCATTTATTTTGAAAACATGTTAACTGTATGAAATCCTGACAATATAGTAAGGACTTTAGATAGTATAGAATTGGAATCCTCTCGTTAGGAACTCAGGTGTTGAATTGTAGACAAAATTGTATAGATATTTATTCGTCTCAAAATACTTGTTGTAAATAATTTTTTGGTCACAAAATGAATGTTTGTGCATACTCGACTGCGCGATACTGGATTTTTGTTTTGGATTTTGCTATTTGGCATAAAAGTATTGTATAGAGACATGCCGACCAGGGCTGAAAAATGAGGTAATGGTTTTCGCGCGAAATCTGAAAATCAACTGATCATTACACTATATCGTGTAAAATGTGAAGTGAATATTCCTTTGTATACTGTTTAGACCATTGAAAATTATAAAAACGAGGTAATTTTTGTTACTAAAGTGTAAAAATGACAGTATTAAACTTATGAAATGATTAATTCTCTTTATGTAGATGAGATATAATGTACAAATCAACTCTGTTATTATGTAAACATTGGTCCGGAAATATTTGAAATTCACAGAATGTAAAGTAGAATAATATTGTTATTGATCAGATATTCATTAAGGTTTACTGTAATATATAGTAAAATTTATATGCATACATGAAAAAAATAAACCAGTCTAGGTAATCTGTCGTTCAATGATAATAATGGAAAGGGATTACATAAATAAACAATGTAAACTGATAGTAAGGCTATCGGTATTGTCATTAATATATCAATAATATGGACAAAAAATAGGGTTTATGCATAGTATTTTGATTGATATAGGATGCGTTTAGTTTTCTCTTTTTGAAGAAATGTTTGTGTATAATGAACATGAAGGTTGAAACACGAATTGATCGTATAAAACGTCTCTGGTATAGACAATAGTTTAATGGAGGTGTGACTGGCAGTGTTCAATGTGACAGAGTAACTAGAGCATTGAAAAGTCCTTTTAATGCAGCTTATACTTGTTTATTATTTTCTAGTTGACGAGTGATTGTTCCTCAAATAAAAGATAATTCACATAGTTTTACCACTTCAGCTGCTCATACGCATAAAGGTGAATCGGTTGTTTAGATGAACAACTTAACCTATGAGTTAGCGAACACCTAGATTCCGGGAAATATTATCAATATGAACTTCAGATTGAAGCGATGCATTCGAATTTCTGCACATATTACTGGCAACCTGTTCATTTGATGTTTATTTGTTGTTTTTGATACTTGTTATCGTTTCCATATTTATTTTGGTTGTTACTTTTTTTTACCTGATAGTTGTCCACGATTTTTCTGATTCACTGATAAATTGAATCGATTTCTGTATGTTTATGGACTACAGATTGACTTGATTTATCAAGCCTCAAAAGGTTCCCTAGTCTTTGTACAGCTTAAGAATAACTTTGGAAATCATTATACAACTCCAATTAATCACATTTTGTTCATCGTGGTCATGTGGTAAATAGAAGCAAGAGCTATTTAACGTTTCCTTTTAAATTTTCTGGTTATAATTTGTTCTCGTCTTTTACATTTAGTGGGAGCAATACTGTAGCGAGCGAACCTTTATAGTCGTTGTGTTCTTAAGAAATTTGTAGTATTTTTATTCCTTCTTTTGGAGGAGGAGGAGAATTCGATAGACGCTATAACTCATTTCTTTTACCCTTTCTCTTCTTTACGATGTACGTATGTCAACTAAATATTCACAATTTCTTATTACGTCATTTCCAATGAATTCATTTCTTGGAGCTTTGAGTTACTTCCTATGTCAATGTATTTGTTCGTGGTATCATTCTGTTTGTTGTCTTTACATTTACTGTCACCTTATTAGTAATTCATAATCTAACTTACTAGGATCAATTGTGTAGTCCTTTTCCATTGTTACCATTGGTCCACAGAGTGTCTCGATTGATGCATATAATTAAACTCAATGAGGGTCCGGTCGAGTTCCATTCAGAAGTCGTAACCAGTGGAGTGGAGGACGTTACCCACTAAAGACAATAAAAAATTGTTGCGTGATGTTGTGGATTGATTGAAGTTAAATTTTTATACTGTCGGATCTTGGCTCATTTGTTAAGAAGTTAAGGGTTCAATTGCTTATCCTGGAATCGCACTTCTGAGGAGTCCCATACTGGGACGTAACGGCCGTCCAGTTCTCCCAAGTTTTTAATTATGGTCTAACCTAGATCAATTCATGATTTCAGTGACACAATATCGTTTGATTACATGTATTTTTCTGATGTCTTAGATCTCCGCAAACGTTGATTTCTGATCGATAAATTTACCCCAAGATTAAATAATTAGTTGGAATTTTTTACGTTCCCAATTTATTCATTTTCATATTACTTGATAACACTCTTCTATCTGCTGTTGCGATTGCTATGATTGTTTAGATCATACTAAATATTCAGAATTCTAGTGACGTAGAAATTCTATTGGAATTTAAGTTTGTTTAGTGGTTTGCTTACTTTCATCTACCATATATACATTTACCTTAGTGATTCTGTGTACATTCAAAAACATTAAATTGTCGGACGAATTTGCTTTAATTAAACCTAAATTTTAGGCATAAATAAAATGTTCAAAATTTAGTTTTAAGGCACAAGTCCATTTGCTGAGCATTTTTTATCTAGACTTATTGCCATGCTGTTTATAGAGAAGTAAATGACATAATCTTCATACATACAATATACCGACCAAACTTTCAATGCCTATAATAATGAACCACACCTACTTATTAAACAACTGAATTAAATAATCTTTCACGTTCAACCGTCACAGAAAAAGCATGAACAAGGAAAAGTATTAAGTGAATATACTCAACTTAAAGTATTACCATAATTATTCACATGAAAGATCGATTATATTGATCCTGTAACGCCTGTTTTGATTATATTTTTTACCAGAGCCTAGATGATTGTAACTAGTGTTCTGTAAGCTAGCATCCCTTTTAAAATTAGCTCCGTTTTAGGAATAAATACAACTCAGTTCAATCAATAACAGAATTAAATACATTGTCCTAATAACTATCACATTAGACAATCCTTCGACTGTTATTGGGCTGCAGTTTGATAGATTATCCAGACAATAAATTTCAGAAAGGACACTATATATCCCAGCTATGTGAATATGGGATTGTAATCGCTCCCATACCTCATGCCATTACTGTGATCTATAACAAGGTTGAAGAAGCATATTAAGTAGATGTTTTCTTGAAACCTATGAATGACGAAGTTTGCAAATGCCGCGGTAATAAATTGCCCCATTAAAAGTCATATCACATTCCGTGAATCCGTAATTGATATGTTTTTTCTACTAAGAAATAAATTGAAACTTTACCTATATTTTTTGATGATTTTGTAAAAACTATATTACAGTAGAAGAAATGTACCCTAATCTGTGGCATAAGTGAGAAAACAAATTTACCGTTTTTTTTTAATATCGTGCTTAATTTTCCAAAGACTGGTAATATGATGGAAGTATTGTCATGTTATATTTTCACATTTGTCTAATTAACGTTCCATATTAAGTAAATAAAAGAAAGGTATGCTTTGAAACTCATTGTATCATTATTATATCGGAAAAAACATATTACTTGGGTTGTATTGGATGTTTTAAGATCGAGCCGTAATGACAGGAAAGCAATTGTATGACCTCTCGCTCTCTTTCTCTAATCCGATTATTGATCAGTTCAATTATATTACCATTAGGACAGATGACCTTCTACCTACCAATTGACACATCGACCAATGAATTACAATAAGATGTGTGACAACTATCTACAGGTCAAACGAAGGATTGAAAATTATTAAATATTAAAGTACAATAATGCACGCGTTAGGTCAATAAGGCAAACTAAATGAAGCAAAGAAAAGTTTTTTTGCCTCTACATAACTCCTAATCTTGATTCTGTATCCAACATCTGATAGGTCATCCCACTACTTGATGAGTTTAGTACCAGGTATGTAGATTCCATGAAACATTCTCTAGAATATCCGCAGACATGTCTTTCTTTCCGTGTGTATGGAGTTGCTTTCATATGTGAATGTAAGCTGATCAATCAATTTAAAATTTCATAACTTCCCTGTTTATCTTATTAATACCTTCAATATGGTCTAGCTTATAAGTGATACATATTTATTGAATTCATATAGTTGTTTCTTAATGTACCTGTACTGATCATGGTGGGTAATACAGTAGGCTAACATCCAACATGAACTAGCCGTTTTGTGAACATCATTTACCTCATTGTTTATTATCTGATACATAACTCATGGCTCCATTTGTACGATGTATTTAGAAAATCGATCAGTGTTTCCACTCAGTTAGGATTGTGAGCAAAGATACTCAAAGAAATTATTACTTTCGATGCATTAGTCATTATAATAATTTTATAAATATTTGTCCCATCATTGTCAGTGGATTATTATTTGACGAAACGTTCATTGTTTTAGTCAAATTTCTTGCAGTGAGAATTATCAATTTTAGCGCATTATATTGGACTGATGAAACAAACATGTGTTGTCAGTATTTGTATTAATACCCAACTCACATTGAATCCTACACCATTTACCTAGTCATTTTTAAGTGAGCTTCGAATGTTATCCCAATTGATGTTAATGGATTTTTCGCACCTTAATCAGTTCAGTTTTCTGTTCAAATTTCAAGATATTATGTTAAGTCATATGGAACTGAGTAAATAATCAAATCTTCATTAGTTTTCTTTTCATGTTGTAGGGATTACTGGTTTGTATAAAGGTGTAACACCGACAATTCTGAAACAAGGAAGTAATCAAGCCATTCGTTTCTTTGTAATGGAAACTTTGAAGGATGGTTATCGACAGTATCGAGGTGACAAAGCTACTGGACTACCTGTCCCAAAACTACTAACTGGATTATTTGGGATTATTGCTGGTGCAGCATCCGTCTATGGAAACACACCTCTGGATGTTGTCAAAACTCGAATGCAAGTAAGTGCATTTTTTATCACAATGTTCATCAGCCACAATCAACTAATATTCAGTGCTGATCATGATTTGTAGATCACATCCCCATAGTAGCCACTTGGTTACGTATGCCGATATGGTGGTCTACGCTTACAATATCAGACTGTTGAGAATTATCTTGTCAGCCCCATCGTTTGATCTATACTTTAAATCAAGTGTATCCATGTCTCTATTTATCATTAGATAACTAACATAAAGGTTGGCTTCGAGAGCTTTCTACTGATCGTTACTAACTATCTAACACGACTATAGTGTGCTATCAAACACATTATTACAAATTCAAATCCTAATTTATGTCATCATGTATAACGTCTGTCTGTGGATTGTCAAAACTCCAAATTTATCCCTCAAAATGCATAATAGACTTATCGGTATGCACGATCCAGTCTTGAAAGTTGTAGTCAAGTTTTCTAGTGAAGACTTTGATATTAAAACGCCTTTGCAACAATAAAATAAACCAAAATAGCAGCGGACTATTAAAACATGAATAAAAGATGAAAAATTCCAATCGTATTAAAACAAATATATGAACGAAGAATATTCTTTTCAGTAACTTCTCATCAGGTCCTACAATAATAAATCCAGATTAATAATCCATAAAATTGACCAGTTTTAAGGTAGAGTACATCATTTAAAATTGTAGCATGTGAATCGAGGATTGTTTATCATATAAAATAAAATCAAGTAAAATCGTTAGTGTTGGGATGACTAATACGAAGTGGGTCGTGGATGCGCATTGCTAAGGAGTCTGATACTAGGACGAAACGGCCGTCCAGTGCTTCCAGGTTTCCCATGATGGTCTAGCTTCAATTGACACAATTATGCTGAATAATTTTCTCGAAAAGGTTAGTAGGGATAATAATAGTAAAATTAATAACAATAATAACAGTGATATCATGTGTGGATAAGTTTAAAATATAGAAAAGAACATTAATCAAATGACGTCACCATATCATAAAATTGATTATTATAGTTCCTACGTTTCGTCTATCACTCTTGTCTGGATTTCTTCTGGGTAATTGTGAAAGTTAAAATTATAATAAATACATGTAATATTTGCAAACACGTCTATTCTAGAATCTAAGTGGGAAAATATTAATCCGTAAGATGTGAAAATTGAAAATAATCTGTAAATGAATGAAAGTATATGTCGGTTTAATTGTATTTTATTAATAATTTCAATAATATGAGCAGTTTCTGTTTTCTGCCAGTCACTTTAATCGTTTTATTCATTAAAAATATTAGTACAAATACTTAAAACGTCGAAGTGTATGTAAAATAATAAAAGTTGACTTCATTGTTGTGATGTTTGAACATTAAAATTAATTTATACGAATATTCGTCAAAATTAGAACGAACAGTTTGACAGAAATAAGGCTCCGAGTATGGAGAAGTCATTATATGTAAAAATTATATTTGAAATAATCTCAGCGATTGAAATGTAAATATTTCCATCGTTTCGTCCAGCTAACTTGTCTGGACTTCTTCAGGGTAGTAATCAAAATCATCAAATAAATGTATAGCGTTTTAATAATCAAATCTATACGTGTTAATCCAATCATAATTGGATGCTGATTTTAGTAAATAGAATAATATGGGTCAGTTAAATGCGAAGCATGTGAAAGGTTCACGATGTGAAAATACATGACTGAACTAATTGTGTGTGTATGTACGTGTAAGATTGAGCTATTAATGAATGATATTTGTTGTTAATATGTTTTTATGTGAAGGAAAATAAAAGTACAAATTGAAGGTTGAAAAATTGTTTCCGAATCATTGAAGTGTAAGTAAACATGAGAATCATCAAATACATAATTGTATTGCTAATCATAACTCACATTAATTTGAGTCCAAATGACTATACATGTGAAATAAACAGGTTGAATAAAGAAAGGGTCCAATTATTTGTTAACGAATATTTGCCAAGTAGTCTCTAGTTGAATACTGTGGTGGTCGGTGTTCGATATATTCCTTAAACTCCGTATACAGTTCGTCTCGGTAACCGTCACCAAGTAACGCTCCAACGGTATATTAATCAGAAGGCGAATACGAAGTGTTAATTACGTTTATTAAGGGACCACACACAGATATCCAAAATTACAGATGCGTTAAGCAAGCATGAAATATTTGTACCGAAAGGCAAACAGGCAAGCGAGCGGGCGAGAGAGAGCAAGGGCAAGAGCGAGCGAGTCATGAATATGAATAACATGGACATATATATATACATAGTGAAATGAATGAATCATCGAGTCAATTAAGCGGTTAATAGTAAAGCTAGTAGCGTGAATAAATGCGTAGGCAGTAAGGCTTGCCGACATACATATTCATACAAGGATAACAATAATAAAGGTACATACATTCGCAACAGTAATAAGGATACAATAAGTTATTATAGTGCAGGTGACTTTGTCCGTTTAATAAGTTAATAAAAGGGCTTAACCGAATTAGGTGAGAGCAAACTCAATTGAACGTGAGTTGCTATAATACCATCCTTTCGGTTCAGCCTGTTCTTGTTCGTCAATATATACAGCGCTTCTGACTCATGTTATCCTACTTACCAAAATCAACATCCAAATATGTTTGGATTCACACAGCATATATTTGATCTGATTTGATTGTTAAAAGGCTGTATATTTATTTAATAATTTTGACTATTGCCCTGATGAAGTTCAGACAAGTCAGCTGAACGAAACGTTGGAATTATTTAAATTTAAATCGCTGAGATTATTTTAAATATGATTTTCACATATAATTAGAATTAATTGTTTTTTTAAAATAAAGCAAAGTGTGATACAAACAGGGTGGGTAAAGATCAAGTCAAAATCACTTGCTGATAAGCGTAGGTAGTCGTGTCCCATCATTTCTGTTCAAGATGTCCTTATTACTCCATATATATAGCGCTTCTTTTGTCAGTCTTATTCGTGGGTTCCAAACCTTTCCTGAAGAATTTTAATCCTCTTGAAGTTGATTTATTTGTCTGTTTCTGACAAATGTAGCGCTATTATGGATTTGCTCTCAAGTTTCTTGAGATCAACTGACAATTTAGAAACCTATTTCAAGCACTGTTGTGTTTCTTCAATCTCATATTCAGTCGTTCAGATGTTTCTTCCACTGGATATTTAATTTCATATACAACATCCTGTTGCTCTTCTGTTAGTAACCTATCTTTGTCTTCAACTATACCTCATCACATGGTACTACTGACCAAGAAATAAAGTCTTATATTTATTTAGAATTTCCTTAATTCCATTCTGTTGACCTTCCCTGTAGTTAATGAGATTACAACTGTTAATTAAAATTTTCACATCTATAACTTTCGTAGAACAAATATGTCCGTATTGTTAGCCTAATTATCTCTAAAAATTTGTTGATTTCCAGAAAACGATAATTTTTATCGTTTAACTACGCCTTTTTTCTCAATCAAACAGTTGAAAAATGCTGGCTTGTAGTCAATAGATCCTATCTCTTGGATCAATGCAATCCGATATGCTGTGTACATTTTCAAATAACTCGCTTATTAATGACAAAAATGTCACTATGTTACTTCTTCCTGATTGTTTGTCAGCTGTTCTTTAATTTATCAAGCTTCAGAAAAGACATAACTTAGGACCAGGTAAAAATAGGTCTCAGTTCAAGGAGTAATAACTATCACCTTATAACATAAAGAAAATTATCAAGGGAGATGATATTTATGTAATAGGGCATCTGCTCCATCGACACTGATTTTGAGCAATATCGTCTAAAGTCTCCAACCACTGATTGGAGTTGTTTGGATATACTCCAACCGCAAATTCTGCAAATTCTTGAGACAAACTGTTAGGAATGCACAAACCCATGTTATTTGTCATGTTGCTTTAGGTTTTGGTGACTATACATTAGAAAACTACTGCTTCAAAGCATTTATTGTCTATTACGAGTTACTTGCTCATGGTAATTGATTCCAAAGATCATGTCCTACACATGTAAATTAATACAGTGATAACTGCTCTTCAGAATATTTGACCTTCCATAGGCAGTCGAATATCTTTCATATACTTCAAGTATTTTATGTTTACAAAATATCGCATGAGCGTTTTATTTCTTTTAATTGGAAGTATGTTTATGGAGTTAAACTTTTCTGAATAATATTGACATGTGTTATGGTTGTTCCCATTTCATTCAGTACAAATTCCTGGTTTTTTTACGTAGGGCCTTGATGCACATAAGTATAAAAATACACTTCATTGCGCTTGGAAAATATGGACTGAAGAAGGCTTTTTTGCGTAAGTTTATTTATTTCTAACAGGTATTTCAATTTAAAATAATTTTATGTGGCAATATTTGAACGAACAAGAGCTAAATGACTGAACGTTTAGAGAAAGGTATCTACCTCAGACAATGAATGAATAGTTGCACAAGATCACGGGTCGATTGAAGTTAGACATTAACACTATTTGATGCCGGTACAGTGGTCTAGAGGTTGAGCATTTGTGCGCGAGTTTTGAAGGTTTTGGAATAGAGTCTCGAATGCGCGATCGTGCATGCGCACTGCAGAGGAGTCCCATATTGAGACGAATCGGCCGGCCAGTGCTTCCAGGTTTTCAGTGGTAGTTTAGCTTAAATGGACTCATGAATCCAACTATTGAAGAAGAGTTATACATTTATTGCAATATATTGTAATCGTCTAACAAGATGAAACCCGTTGCTATCTGAAATAACACTCCCATTCCCAATCGCGGTCAATTGGCTGATTGGTTACACGGAGTTGACTTCCAATCAAATGTTTTATTCGTAACACCATTTCTGTAGTGGCTTAACTTCGTTAGTAAATCAGCTTAATAACCGTTATTATATAAATCAAGGCACAAGTCGAATACACAGAAGCAAATAAGAAAGCGAAGAAGAGTAGTAGAGCTGACAAGCAGAAATGAGCTGAAGACCTAGCAACGACCGCGGAAAAAGCTGCAAGAGAAGGAAATATGAAACAACTAACAAAGAATCTGGCAGCGAAATATAATAAACCAGAGACCGATTAAGGACAAAGAAGGCAAGCCAATTACTGAACTTCAAGGATAGAGGAACAGATGAATGGAACTGTTGAATAGACCAGCTCCATTGAATCCACCAAGTATCGAAGCAGCACCTACAGACCTCCCTATACATGTGACTCCACCAGCGACAGAAGAAACAAGCATGACCATTAGACAAATCAAAAGTGGGGAAACAACAGGGCCTGACAATATACCAGCCGAAGCACTAAAGTCAGACATAGAAGCAACTGCAAACATACTCCACGTTCTATTGGGGAAGATTTGGGAGGAGGAACAAGTGTTTCAGACAGGCATTAAGAATAACTCACCAAGATACTAAGGAAAAGAGTTCCGAGCAGATATGGGTACTACAGAGGTATCACATTGCTGTCAGTACTAGGGAAGGTTTTCAACAGTGTTGCCGAACCGGATGAAAGACGCAGTAGATCAACAGGTTAGATTCCGTAAGGATCAGTCGTGCACAGACCGAATCGCGACACTAGGGATCATTAGAGCAGTCAATCGAATGGAACTCGTCACTATACTTTAACTTCCTTGATTATGAGAAAGCATTTGACCGTGTGGATAGAAGAACATTATGGAAACTTCTTTGACACAGTATCATACGGAATTCATACGACGGACTACAGTGCAAAGTCGTGCATGGAGGACAGCTGGCAGACGCATTCCAGGTAAGGAGATGATTTAGACAAGACTGTCTACTCTCTCCCCTTCTCTCTCTTCTATTGGTCAACTGGATTACGAAGACCTCGACATCCGAGGGAAAGCATGGAATACAACCGACAGCTCGAAATCAGTTACAAGATTTGGACTTCGCAGATGACTTATCCGTCCTATCACATACACACCAACAAATTCAGATGAAGACAACTAGTGTCGCAGCAGCCTCTGCATCAGTAGGTCTTAAAATACACACTTGATGGCGAAACTCTGGAAGATGTGGAATCCTGCTGGTGAGCGACCTATACTCCTCTATGAGGGATAACAAGCGTGAGATAAAAAATGGTAACTGAAGGTAGTCCATAGGAAACCCTGGACCTAGGCTTCGTGTCATTTGGCAGTCTTCAGCAAGGTGTAACTATAATTTTCAGGGAACTGCAACACGTTGCTGACGAATGTCAATTAACACGAAACCTGAGCTCAGGATTTTCTATCAACTACTTCCATCTACCATTTTGATCAATGATCCCTGTTTTACTCTGGTTTTGTATCACCTCTGACTAAGTTACGTGCACACTGTAATCCCTTAATCGTGTTACCATGCGGCCAAACACTTCAGTCATATTAACGTATGTTTTGTATCATGACTGATCTCCTTTTGATATTTGTCTTGTGACTGGATACTGGGTTAGAAAGAGCTTAAGGACCAATTAGAGTCAAGGTTTTGGTTATTGTCCATTGGTCTACTTGTCAGGTCACCGGTCCTACTGGCGTTATGGGTCAACTAATCGATAACCTGATAAAGATAAAGAGGTCACACATCTGCTCCTCGTCTTACTGTCTGAGTACGTGAAACGCATTATAACCTAAGTAATCTGTTTTATTCCTGACATAAAAATCTCTAACTAGTGTTAATAAACATCAAGAATTATGACTTTATTTAAAGTGACATGGGAATATTGAACTAGTTTAATTTTGAACATATAATATGTTTCTGAAGACATGATAATATGATCAACTCATCACTAATGAAGATCCTGTTTATATTTCAAAAGTTACTACTTGTCAAAAAGTCTATTGCAAAGAAAGACTTCTTAAGATATAATCTTCATGTTATTTACAGAGTCAATTTAAAGCTTGCCTTTTGAATTTCATTCATTGAAACAATAATAATCTTGAAATTTATTAGTTTAATTTAGAAATTCTTGAAAAATCTGTGTTAAAAGTGGCTAAATAATGATCAAGAATAATTAAGCGAGTTATTATGTTTATAATAAAACTACTACGTTTGTAGTCACTTGTATCATTGTATAATCTTGATCTGTCAATAGTAAATCAAGTTTAACCTTGAAGATTATGAAAAAAGATTAACTGAATTTAATAAACAGTAAAATAATATTTCTGTAAAATTAAATTTGAAATAATCTCAGTGATTGAAATGTAAATGACTCTAACGTTCTATTCAGAAATCTTGTCTGGACTTCTTCAGTGGAACAGTCAAAATCAAAATTATGATAGAATATTTAACGCTTAAATATAGAATCGAATCTACACTAATTGCTTATTTCATCATATTCAAAGGTCAACATTAGTAAGTAGGGCAGAATGAGTCAGTGAGATTTGAATCATGTGACAAGTTCACAATGTGGAAATAAATGTTTGTGTAACTTTGGACTAATAATAGTTAATATCCAGTGAACTAATTCTAATCATTTGTTTATTAAAAGTAATAATAAAAGTGCATATTGAAAACGTTCCCAATACTTCGGTGTGTATGCAAAATGGAAATCATCAGATACATAGATATCACTGTCAAGGTCTGACTTGATAGTTTCAAATAAATTGGGCATTGGGTAAAAAGTTAATAAATTTATCTTTGTCATATCCCAATGGATAGAAAAATACTATTTATGGTGTTTCGTGACTTAATGTAAGCCATTTCTTCAGTGTAAATAAATAACCGAATTCAGCTATTTATTTGCTCTAATGAAGTGGCTTACATTAAGTCAGGAAATATCAGAAATACAATTTTTATGCCCATTGGGATATAACAAAAGTATATTTATTATCATCAAATACATAATTTTGATTTTCACATATTCAAATTAATTTTGGTCGGAACAGTGCTGGATGTGACATAAATAGGGTGGATATAGATAAGGTTCAATTACGTATGAATGACAATTTGTCAACGGTGGGACTACTTGGATACCATCTCTCCTGTTCAAGATATTCTGATTAGCCCAAATATACAGTGCTTCTGCTGTCAATGTTTCTTTGTTCATACCAAGCTTTTTCTGAAGTATTTTTCCCTTCGAAATACTTATGTTATCGTAATCACTAAAGCTAGTTTCTAAATATGATTGAATAAGCATTTAATGTAGATTGGATTCTATATTTAAGCGTTAAATATTCTCTCATGATTTTGATTTTAACTGTTACACTGAAGAAGTCCAGACAAGATTTCTGAATAGAACGTTAGAGTCATTTACATTTCAATCACTGAGATTATTTCAAATTTAATTTTTCACAAATATTGTTTTCCTTACACTTGGTGCTCGATTTCTGTCATACTATTCGTTTAAATATTGACTAACATTTGTGTAACTTATAGTAAGAGGATTTCAGCGTGAATGTTTAAAATCCCAGAAATCTCAAAGAATATTTGACCAGTACCTATTGTCTTTCTACTTTATGTGTATGTATTATGACGAGAAAGACCCTCTGTAATATTAATAATAATCATAGTATAAAAACGAGTATGTCTTCACGGGAGCATGTACTTAACCGGTTCCAACTCATTATTTATCATTAATAGATGAATTAACTGTAATAATTTTATTATTTCCACTCATGTTTAATAAACTTTTGAAGTGAACGACAAGTTTAGTTTGTTTCTTTATATTCTCCTTTAATATACATTTTCTTATCGCATACTTATATTTTATTTTCTGTTTATAGTTTCTATAAAGGTACTGTACCTAGACTAGGTCGTGTCTGTTTAGATGTTTGTATTAGCTTCATGATTTATGATTCATTTATGGAGAGTTTTCACAAAATATGGGACACAAAGAAATCTTAAAATATTTTCATTTTTATGCATTTATATTATTCTTGGTTGTGACGAAATTCTCATATATCTATATAGAAAACAGTAATTTTATAGCACAATAGTCCATTCACTTTCTATTTATATTTGAATCTGATAAAAAAATATTTGAATAAAGAAGTAGATGGAGAAGATGAATACACTTGTTGTATCCAATTATACTTATTTCTGTATTTATCCATACACATTTAAATAAATCATTCCAAGCTTTCTTTATATATTTCTCATATGGTTGTGCTAGTCTTCTTTGGTTGTGCAATAATTCATACAAAATCGGTGATATGTTTATTATTCTTTCGAAATAAATAGATTGTCGAATTTATTTCTGTTTATCTACAATCGATTGTTTCATGTTTTTTTTATAAGAAACAAACTTTACTCTCCCTTTCTATTTTTTTTTCTTGTTTGATTTATTCCCTTTCTCGATGGATTTTTCTTTTTTTTGAAAAAAAGATAATCTATTGTTCACTATTAAAATCTACCAGTTTGATGATATCGATTTTTATGAGTTAACTGATTTGCACTTGGATTAAATATGATGACAGTTTTTTAATCTCTTTCAATATGTATATCAATACCATTATTTATTTATTTGTTTATTCACTAAATGATTATTATTATTATTGGTATAAGTATTTTTATTTATAAACTCTTCTAATCAATGTCAAATTACACCCAATAAATGTTTACTATATACATCTCATGTCTAAACTTGTTTAATGTAAAGGGTTACTGTTAGATACCTTACATTGTTTTTGTGTATTTATTTTCGTTTACTTGCACTGAGTCATTATGATGGGATAGGGAGTGCTGCATTATTTAACTAATTAAGATCAGCATTGCTAATTTGATCGAATCTACTTAAATGGTTGGAGTGACAATTAGACTCACGGAGCAAATCTCGAAACTCTAATCGAATGAATTTCAAAAGACATAGTGACTATCTAACTGACTAAGTGTATGATTAAACATTTAATAAGGAGTGATCAATGTGATGCTAAACAGACAGTGGTTTTTGCATTAATATATAGTATGATTGCTTTGGTACTTTGTTTACCTTCAAAATTCGGTTTACTGAAGCAACATGTTTAGTGAGATGGGAATGAAATCTCTTGGAAAATGTGATTGTCTTCCAGTTCAAACTCTTTTCAACCATATGTTACATCGGATTAATTAATTTTAGGACAATTAATTGCATAACACTAGGGGCTAAAATCTTTGTAGATTGTTGATGACTGCTGTTATTCGTGCTGACAACAATGAGTGTGCGAATTGAATATTTCAGTTGATATCCTTAGCGAAATATTCAGACAGTAAATCGGTTGCAAATGCACTAATAATATCATAGTAATCACAAATTTATTAACAGCAGATATTGTTAGCTTTCTTAGCAACCGCAAGAGTCAGGCATCAAAAGAATGAATAGGACTTCTCAGAGGTTGGAAAGAAGAGCCCAGGATAAAGTAGGTTGAAAATTTCTAGTCGGCAGCCTATGTCTTCACGGGGAGTAACAAACGTAAGTAATGCATTGTTAATAAATGTTTGTACTTCCCCGTTTTTGGTTTTGAAAACTGCGATCGATCAATTTTTCTTGGAATAAATTAATATTGAGAGAAGTTATTGTTGGACTGAGCTGTGTAAGTAAGTGCACTTTATGTCAGGTCCGCGCGATTATTATACCAGTAGTTAGGGACTTTGGGTGTCTTGGCTCACAATCGTACACAATGGTGTAGATTCATTCATTCTCTATTGTCCCTTAGTTCCTAAGTTTCCTAATTATCTTAAAGTGTTTCCTATATAAAAACACATGTCTTCTTGAATCGTATCATTTATGTATGATCTTTTCCATTAAGAATAGTCCTGTTACGACTTATACGACTACTATTCGAAAGTGTTAATAACATACTTTACTGTAAAACAATTAGCTCTTGTTATAAATTTAGATCCAATGAGAAGACAAATTTTATCAGATTTTTCAAAACGTATTTCACTGATACATACCACAGCTCTGATAAACAGTTGAGTCTGTTGACTCATTCATTTTCTTTAAATATTCATGCAGCGAATCTTGATATTCAGACGACATTAATAAACCAAAAAGCTGAGAACAGTCTGAATAGAGGTCTCATTAATGTGACGTCGATTGAATTCTATTTGTGATTAACAGACTATAAGTTTCACTACATTGTAAATAAGTGTTCTTACGTATGAAATCCACTCAGTTAAAACTTGATTCCTTAACATGAAAACATTTTAATGTCTTGGAATAAAGATATTAAGATTTATACAAATAGATCAACACAGTTGATGCTCTTCGGGAACACTTCTAGAAGGAATGAGATTATGTTAAGTTGCTAAAAAAAAGTAAACAGAAGATTAAAAGTAAAATTCTTTAAATAATAGTAAAATCATTAAGTTAACAATTTATGTTTCTTTAATACAGTCTTCTAATAACCATTTATTTTACACAAGTGATTATGGCATCATAGTTACAGATTATCATAAATGACCATATCCGGAGTGGAATTTGTGTCATAGCTACGCATTATATACGGAAGAAAGCAGTATACATTAGGAAAAGCAAGAAATGTTTGGTAAAGATCATTGGTTATGTTCACATTAGTTTGCTGATATTCACTCAGTTGATCTCGACCAGAGAAAACACATTACTATCTAAAACAAATTGGGTTAAAAACCTTTTACTTAATGAATGAAATCCCTTAATCGTATCTCCATAAAAATTCATCTGACTGATTTATCGTATTGATTTTACCAACATTATACCTGTAGTGTCTGTCATTATGTTAAGCCCAAATACCTCATTATTCTAACTTCCGGACAGCCCATTCTATTCATTCTATTTGAGTCACATTCTGACCTTGTTAATTATTCGCTTATCAATATCTTGACTGCTTTATATGAGCGCGTAGGCGTATGTACACTTCTTATCCCGTTACTTATCACATGTCTGTAATTTATTTTTGTGGGCTTATAAATATTGATTAACTCTTTGTTAAGCGGGGAGTTGGCTTACCAGCCATCTCCACCGCTCGTCAATTTTGCTTCGCTTTCTTCTCTTCGCGTCGTTCTCCCGTTCGTTTGTCTAATCAACAATTATACGAAATATATGCATTCAAAACTCCATTCTCGTTATTTGACTTATTTAATTCCGTTATTAACTAACGCGATTTAAGTCAATGATTATATACGAGGATAGACGATCGCAACTAATCATTTCGATCAAATTGGAGTCAGATCACGGGCGACTAAATACCCTATAGTAAATAACAGATTATAATGTATTATTCTAACATATTTCTTGTACTATGATCGATCGCACATGTGTTATTCGTTAACATTAGCAGATCAACTGTGTAACAGAAGACATATGCAGGTAAAACACAAACTAGTTAACATTAGATATTCATCATAAAAATACTTATCAAGTTCAGACTTACTCAATTACTTTATGAAATTTCAAGAGAATATTTAGGACAGATTAGGTGCTACTACCTTCACAGCTTTGACGAATCAAAGAGGACGAACCTGTGGATACATTTTACATTGTGTTTAGAATCAAACTTGTTTTGTGCCCTAGAGAACGATTTCATTTACACTTTTAGGAGTTCGTTATTTCACTACACGTTTCTGCTGTTGACATCGCATTATAGTTTGTTGTTTTGTATATTATTTCTAGAAAACCTATTAGCATTTATTCTGTTACAAGTGAACTATATGATAATTATGCACTTAATAATAACCACCAGAATTTTCTCTAGTTCCCCTGTAAATTTTCTACATTAGAGTATTGAATGGTAAAGGGAGGGCAAGGAGTAATGAGTGGAGCTTTGCTTCCACGGTTGACCTCTACACAGAAAATGATAGTACCTGTGAGAAACCTAGGGATATGGGAGGTTTCTGGGGTTACACAAAGTTTTGTAACAGAATAGTTATATAATTATAGTTTTACAAATAACTCGTCGTTTTCCTAGAAATTCCTGGAAAGCAACCATTACGTTCTGACTAAACAAAGTAGCTTCAGCCTTTTCACAGAATCTGAACGGCTTTTCAGGGGATTTGAACAAATTAATCTGACTTTGAGCATCTTAGCCTTTCACTTTTACTATTTGTAGACAATATGTACTTACTGATTTACGCTTGTTACCCATAGTGGAGGAGCACAGGCCGCTCACCAGCACTCTCTATCCAACTATGTCCTAAGAAGTGCCTTCCAGTTGCATCCAGTTGTTATTCATCCCTTCGATGTCGGGTTGTTGAGCACGGCGTTCCCACTTACAGAGCTATTTATTTTGGGCACTTATTTAGCGCTACATCAATTCCTTGTGAACGTTGGCCATCCGTTTTATCGCTTTCCTTCAAGATTCCAAGTTAGCGCTTACCTTGTGATGCAGTTTGATGATATCCTCAATGTATGTCCTATCCACTTCCAACGTCCTTTCCTAATTCCTTCTTCAGATGGTTTTTCTCTCACAGTAGACTGTGACTGACGTATCCGTTTGATGAACACTGAGTGTCTTACACGAAAAACTATTTATAAATACTTGTACCTTTTTGATGATGATAGTGATAGTTCTCCAAGTTTCAGTTCTGTACATCTTAAATGACCGTCTTGACATTCGTATTGAAGATTTCCACTTCTATATTGGCTAACAGTAGTTTTGAGTTCCATATGTTCTTCGATTGTAGGAATACTGTCCTTGCTTTACCAATCATCGCCTTTACATCTGCATCGGATCCTCCTTGTCCATCGATGATGCTTTCCAGGTACATGCAGGATTCCACACTTTCCAGAGTTTCGCCATCAAGTGTAATCGGGTCAGTGTTCTCCGTGTTGTATTTGAGGATCTTTCTTTATCCATTCTGTATGTTGGAGCTTACTGCTACTGAGGCTGTTGCATACTGGCTGTCTTCGCCTACATTTGTTGGTGTGTAAGGGCTAGAATAGCTAGCCCAAAGTCCAAATCGTTTATCTTCATTCAAGCTGTCCATTGAATTCTGCGTTTCTTTTGAGACACTGAGGTTTTACGATCCAGTCAATGTCCGGAAGAATTACAAAGAGCGAATGTGACCAACCTTGTCTGAAACCGGTCTGGAATAAACACTATTGAAACTCAGGAGTATAGTCTCAATAATATTAGAATTTGTAAATTGGTTATTTGTTCAATGAACTGTGTGATTCAGATTATGTAGCTTGTAAGCCCGCAAAATGTCACTGAGCCCCAGTCAAATCATCCGACAGTTGGGTTACTAAATATTGAATAAATCACTGATCCCTATCAATGGTAATAACAACGAAGACGCATATGTATATCGTAAGCCATTGACTGGCCCATGTGGTGGTAGTCACACTTTTACTTTTACCTAATTCAACTAATACATTTTTCCAATGACGTTATTTGTGTTATACGGTTTTCAAAACTTGGAATGACCAAGGGGTTGTAGGGCTAGCGAAATTCCACTGAGCCCTAGCCAAATCATCCGGCAGTTGGGTCATTGAATATTGAACACATCATCAATCCTCGTCGAGGTCAAGGACAGCCAACGCACATCAGTTGATCGCACTCCATGGACTGGCCCATACGGCAGTGGTCTTACCTTTGCTTGTATCTACTTTAACTAATACATTTCTGTAATAACGTCCTCTGTGTTGTACAGTCTTTAAAGCACCTTGATACGTCAATGGGGTAATCCATGTAAGGTGCAGACCGCGAAATGTGACTTAGACGTTAGCTAGTTTGTCACATCACTCACGTCTAACTCGAGTAAGCCTCCAATCATTTCGACATAGATCATCCACGCTGGTGATCTAAAGGGTAAACCCCGCTAGCTGTTCACTTCAAAGATGTGACTTTGAAGTTAGCTGTTGGTCAAACCATTCCCGTCTAACTCGAGTAGGCCCCTAATCATTCGACATGGATCACCTACGT